CCCTCCCACCCCCACCCCCTGGGACCCTGCCAGTACCAACGGCCAGTTATAGGGCCACTTTGTTGCAGGAATGATGGTTACATCTGCCCCCATCTCAATTAGCATCGACAGCGCCAAGATTGCCCGTTTTGGTGTTTAATTGTTACTTTTTCTTCTGGCTTTCCCCTGGCGATATCAATCACTAATAACATGTTTGGCACACCGGTGGACCCAAAGCCTCCTTGGCCACGTATGACCAATTGTGCCTTAGGAACACATGTGCGAAACGGTACCAATTGTGTTATTTTTGATTGCGCTGGTATGGTAAGGGGTGGGGTCAGCATGTACACCATAATCTTTATTGTTCCACAATAATCTGCATCAATGAGTCCTGGCACTATAAATATGCCTTTCCAAGATACCGAAGAACGGCCTATAAGTAATGCACTCAACCCATGCCCTAAAGGTCCTTGCTGATCAGAATCAATTAATTGAACCTCTGAAGTTGTTAATGTCACGTCTACTGTTGTTGCCAGGTCCACTCCGGCACTGCCGATTGTGGCGCCTGCACAGCGGTCCAAGCACCCTGTACTTGTGTCGTCACGCACAGGTGGGGCGCGCTCCGTGCCTTGTTTCCCAACTGCCGACACTCCTGAATGCCATGGTTGTCCCTTTTGCAATTTATACAGCACTTTTTTACTCGTCCCTCAGTATTAACTGGATTCCGACACTCCTTTTTAAAATGACCAAGTTTGCCACAATTAAAACACCTTTTTCTCTTTTTCCTCCCTGCTTTTTTGGTATCAATGGCTTTACTGCTGCGCCCACAGCAGCGGCCATGACTGTAGCATTTCTTGTTCCAACATTTGCTTGGCGGCTTCTAACAGCTGCCCTGCGTCAGATCCCTTTGGCAACACACTAAGGGCTCTCTTAGTTTTCTCAATAGCATTATCAAGGGCAAGCATATCTAAGAACTTTGCTTTCATGCCATCATCCAAATCAGGGTGAGCCATAATTGCGGCGTGCTGTCAATCAATAAATTTCCCGTACAGTTCTGTGGGACCTTGCTTTACCGCCATGAAGGCTGGTCTGGTTTTTTCATCACGCACATTAATAAGAGCTTTGTAAGCTAACTCTTGGCTCAGTTGTAACACTTCTGTAGCAAATTGTGCTTGCCAATCAGCTCGTGTAAAGGGTCCCGCTCCCACCAGCATTTGAGCTTGCACACCAAACAAGGGATCACCCTGTTGTCGCGGTACCGCAGCTGCCTTATCACAAGCAGTTTGCCAATGTTGGAAGAACTGCAACTGCTGCAATGGTGGCAGTAGCATCTGGACAATCATTCTAGTGTCATAAGGAGTTAGCAACTGTGAAGAAAAAATATGCTGCAACACAGACTGAGTGTAAGGTGATTTCAGCCCATACTGAGTAACTGCACTTTTAGCTTCTTTCAATATTTTCCAATCCAATGCCTGCCACACACCTCTACCATTATTATCAACCACAACTGGAAATGCCATGGGTAAAAACTGTCCTTCTATCATAGCATCTCGAATCACCCCTTTCCACCGCATTGTTGGATCCCCAGCTCCTCCCGCCAACATCCCTTGCCCAAATACCGCCCCCGCTGGTGGTGGTGGCGGCAAACATCTCCTGCAACTGCACGTCTCCTAGGCCAGTTGGACGTTCATCCTCCTTCTCACACCATGACGGGAGGGAGGAAGGTGGTAATGGGGAGTAGAGTGGAGCGGTCGGCGCCGGTGAAGAGGCTCGTGATGCCGAGCCTACATTGGCGCAGTCTGGCGGGGTGTCCGGCATTGGTACATCTGGTGGTGGTGGAAAGTCTTCTGCAGCTTTTCTCTCTGGTGCCAGCACATCTGTGGTGGCGGGGGCTGGGGCTGCGTCCCCCGCTGGGGCTCGAACCCCTCCCGCAGCGCGAACCGGGGCTGCGGCAGGGATCATTGGAACCGAGAACAGCATGCTGGTGGCAGATCGCAACTCGCCTGCCGGAGTCAAAGCCACGCAAGCAGACTCGACAGCTGAACATTCGGCTTTCATGCTTTTCAATGTTTCATTGATCAGTCACCAAACAGTGGAGAACTTGCTCACCTCTTTGGATCCTTTCTTATTTCTTCCCACAGCTCTGCCCCTATCTTTTCCCATGTTGGGACATCAAAAGCAACTCCAACTGTGGGGATCAAGTCCTTTCCCTTTGCCCAAAGCAGCAAAGCCTTCAAGGTAGGCAAGTCATAACTCAGTCCTCTTGTTGAGAGTATATGTTCATAGAATCATAGAATGTTTGGGGTTGGAAGGGACCCCTAGAGGTCATCTAGTCCAACCCCCCTACAGTGAGCAGGGACACCGCTAACTAGATCAGGTTGCTCAGAGCCCCGTCCAACCTGGCCTTGAATGTTTCCAGGGATGGGGCCTCCACTACCTCTCTGGGCAACCTG